AAGAGCCTTCTTGTAGCACAGGATTGCCTTTGACAGTCCTCTCGTGGCACAGGATTGCCTTTAAAGTCTTTCTCGTAGCACAGGCTTGCCTTTAAAAGCACCCTTGCAGCACAGGCTTGCCTTTAACAGCGCCCTTGTAGCACAGGCTTGCCTTTAAAAGCCCTCTCGCAGCCCAGGATTGCCTTTAAAGGCCCTCTTGTAGCACAGGCTTAAAAGCCATCTCGGAGCACAGGATTGCAGGGTTGCTTTTAAAAGCCCTCTCGTGGCACAGGATTGCCTTTAAAAGCGCTTAGGGTTCAGGGTTCAGGGTGTAGGGCGTGCATAGTCAGGCGCGCGTGTGCGTTATGGCGTCCGTGCTCGTGCAACAAAATCCTGGAGATTTATTCGCGTGGAACATAAAAGGCACGACATTCCCACATGCTCCGGTGGAGACAGCGTGCGAAATTGCTTGTTATTAGTGATGGCGAAACTGCTATTCTGTGGGTTCTGGATGGTTACGTCATGCAACGGACTAATACATGCGTCCACAGCAGCGCAGCTTGTCCATTCAGGCAGATCTGCGCGCGTTGCACACTGCGCCAGGCAAGAATTCAGGTTCCCACCTTCAGTTTGCTTGGTTTGCAAGACGAAATGCCTTATTGCTCTCGGTCTACTTGGCTTCTGCATAGGTCACCAGTCCTCTTGCTCATCTGGCCCTCTCCAGGTGGCCTTTTTGCCAGGCATTTTTCATAAAAGCGAAAGCTTGGTTCAAATGCATTATTGCGTCGATGAACGTCATGGCCGCCAATGGAGGCATTAGTGATTCCCGGATCACGTCCTTCTCGACTTGGGAAGTTGGCCACGAGATCCTTGTGTGAACACAGGAAGCGGTAAGCGTAACAAGGCTCTCCCTAAACCTTGCGTTACTTACCCCTCCTAGAGGTAATAATCGGGTAGAACATAAAAGGTACGACAACTCCGGTGGAGACAGCATGCGAAATTGCTTGTTATTAGTGATGGCGAAACTGCTATTCTGTGGGTTGTGGATGGTTGCGTCATGACACGGACTGAATCCTGCCACCACTAGCAGTGTATCGAAAAACTGGTAGCGCCAGTGGTCCCTACCAGCATCGGTAATTCGGAGCTGGCTCATCTTTTTGCTGCAATTGTCGCACCAGCCACCTTGTGAATCTTCGAAGAAAGCTGAAGTGCCTATGACCGAGACTGGCAAGGATGACATTACCCTTACGCATACAAGAGGGCCACCTTTGATTGGCCTTCATGGACAACCACCTACGTCCAGATACAGTTGGAACCACGATTCACACTCACGATTCTCTACCTTGTACTGGAGGAAGTCCAATGTTGAACTTTCGTCAACAGTCTAGAGAGAAGCATGTGGAAGTCTTTGAGGAACTAGCCAACTCAGTCGATTGTCTCTTGAAGAAGGTGGAAGAGGTTTATGGCCAGGTATCCAAGAGTAGAACTACCAGCCAATAATTTAGTACTGGAAGTCGGAAGTCTCGAGGAAGGTTTTGTCGAACCAGCATCTAGAGTTTGAGGGTATCGTGAACGGATGTTCGATGAAGATGTTTACCAAGAGTCAACAACCAGTCGGAAAGAGGTTCAGGTTTATGTCAAACCGGAAAGAGGTTGCAAATAGGTTAGCGGAAAGATTCAAGTGTCAGTCAGTGCATTGTCGAGCACGCAGCTTTCAACAATGTCAATTGGACAGAGACAGAACGATACACCCGTGTGTTCGCTCGATACTTCGTTCGGTTTCTAAGGAGTGAGGCTGGACGTGCATGAGCGGATGCTGCCGGATTTGAGAAGGGTCCTAGATGGATCTAGCACCATGAAGGGTGTTTTCTCTCCTTTTGCAGCACAGCTTCTTCGATCAAGTCGAATGGACGTCGCAAAAAAGAGAGAGTGTCTTTTGTCTTAGTCTTCGAAGTTTTCTTTTGAGAAAAGCGTCGAATGTCGAAGGTCAGAGGAATTAGATAGATTTTGATGAGTCTGAGGTTTTCGAGGTCGGTCGAATGTCTCTTGAAGAGAAGATCGAAATTGGAGATCAGAAGGTCTTATTGGCAAAGCCATGGAGGCCTGGAGATTCAGAGTGCATGCAATTTCTATTCTATTCTGTTTTGTGTGTGGTTCAAGCTCGCTGTGCTTGCTGTGCAGCTATTTGTGCGCGCGTTCGCGTTTCGTCGCCGTTCATGGAGGCAGCCGTGATTACTGCTTATGTGGATGGGCGAGAGTTTGAGATGCCATGTATTCTCATTTTCGTGAGTGGCATGTTCGTTGGAGGAATTCTGACGAAGCTTTGTTGCCGTTCAGTGCAGGTGATTGTTGATTCGAGGAATCAGCTTGAGTCAATGGGAAAGAAGAGCACCAGAGATATGAGCGTTGAGGTGAACGATCTGGCGCCACCAGTGTTCGCAGATTGGCTTGATATGCGCGATTCATACTACCGAACTGAGAAAGGAACAGTGTTGCATCTGACACCTTTCTGCAGCTATGCCAACGCCGTGCTTTGTCGCGCTTTCATTTCTGCAAGAAGCGTTTGAAGACGAGGCATGAGGAGCCCCAAGCCGCAGAATGATGTTGACACTTGACCTCGAAAGGGGGTGTGAAAGTGTATGGCCATGCTACACTCGTGGCAAGGTCAGTTTACAACCCAATGTTTGCAGAACAACTGTTTTGAGAACAGTGACGTTCATGTCTAGGTGCCTTGTAAAGCCTTAGCTGTGAGGGTTTTGCATTTTGAATGCTTAAGCAAGCGTTCCGTACCGAAACTTTGTATTTGGAAGTGTTTTGAGCAAGAGCTTTTCGTAGCTTTTGTAGTTTGAGGAGTTTTGTGCATATTTGAATGCTTTAAGCTCGATACCTCCGGTATATCTCGCATGGAAATCGCTTGTTACAGGAATGCCTTCATAGCCGCTTTCGAACTTCACTTTGGCTCAAGCCCAGAGTGCGCGTAAAAGGTGTGCGAGTGCTTTCGCGTTGCTTGTGAGCTGTTGCGCGTGCTTTTGCTTTGTGTTTAGAACGTTTGTAATCTACTTACTTAAGGTAGTAGGTTTTTCAGGGACAGAAACGCAAAAGTGTCAACCATGTCCCCTGACTTGCTGGTTGAATTCGGTCTGATTTGATTGCCCACGCCTTTGCAAGTGCAAAGCAACATCACGGGCATGAGCATCACCTGCTTCTCTCGCTCATAAGGTGATCAACCCGTCCAGGCCCATTAATCAAGCCATGAATAGTGTCAGCAACTTCGACTTGGCTCCAGGCTTCTCATGCAGCCTTTTTGCACTAATTCAACGATTTATGTCTCACACCGGTTTCACCTTGCATTTACACTCAAGAGTCTCTTGCTTTCTTCCCTGGTCGGTTTTTGTTTGGTGGTGTTTTGTGTTGGTGTGTTGTTTGTTGTTTGGCACATCATGCAAGAGACTCTTTCAAAAACAGCACAAGCTGACCTATGCATTTCCTGCATGAACGGCGGCTCCACCCGTGCAAAAAAACACGAGGAATTGGTGTCTTGGAAACAGAGCCAGCAAGGATTGGACAAAATTGATTGTCAAACATTTGCTGCGAGGTCTTTTTTGATCGTGCTCCACCAGCAAGGAGGTGTCATGGTTTACTTGTCCGTCGAACGACAAAAATTGAGAATTTGAAATGTGCCCTTGGAACAATAACTGCCTTTGGTTGTAGTAGTTGTTTTTTGAACTGTGTGCTTTGCAATCACCACACAATGTGCAAAGATGCCCCCTTGCCAAAAAATGGGCAATTCGCTTTTCTTTGCAGTAGTGAACTCTGGTTGAATTGGATTTGAAAATATATATATCAGTCTATTGTTGTGCATTGTTGGATTATTATTGTACAGTAGAAATTTAATTTGTTGTTGCAACTTTAGAATCTAGTTGTTGAAAAACAATTTAAGGTTTACAGTTGTTTGGAAATGATTTATGATTGAAAGTTCTCCTGAATTCCATAGAAAGGGTGTCACAAACAGACCCATAATTTTTGTGGATTGGTCACGCTATTTCTAACTAATTCTTTTGATTGATAGAGCACACGTACTCATTGTTAAGCACATTGTTTTTGACATCAGAGAATGCAAGATGTAATAATATTACGGTGTATCTTGAAATCAATCAGCACAAGTATTGGATCAAATTACACGAGTGTTGCTGACTTTCCAGGGAGAATGGGGTTTCTCATTGGAATGTTGTTGGAGATCAAGATTGCGCGAGTATTTGTGGATTTGTGGTGCGGAAAGAGACACTGGTTTATGTTTGAATCGGATTTGCTCATGTGAACATTATGGTGTTTGTTTTTCCAGTACTCGACCGAGTCTCCATTGTCATTTGGCCATATGGACACTGAAGAAAGAGTGTGGGTTTCGTTGCAAAATCATGTTTTTTGACATGCATGTTTTTTTTTCAGCGCACTGGAATCAGCAGCTCCCGAAGCGTGTTGTTGGAATCTAAAGTTTCACACTTTGCGAACTGGGACCAACTGTTGTGAGTCCGAATTGCAGCAATGGGTGACCATGGGAGTCCGACTCTCAATGTTTGCAATTGCTGTGGTCATGCGTCTCCACTCCTGGCCGTCTGGTGACCAGCCGGCTGTGTGAAAGCCCTTCGTGGTGACCTGCGGGGTGTGCCAAGGCGTCACAGTGTTGTGAGCCCCAAGACTCACACAGCGAGGCTCGTGGGCAAAGAACTGTTGGGAAAGAAACCTAGGCAGCAAGATGCGATTTGAAAGCAGCATCTGAAGAACTAGTACCCAGAATACTGGTACAGTTCAAGGATTTCAAGGAGTCTTCCAAGAGACTCAGCTGGGAAAGTCATTCAGATTCTTTCGACACCTCTGTAACCTGCAAGTGTCAAGGCCGGCATTCTGGTGGACACCACTGGAGTGATACCTGGCATTGCTCATGGTAGGGGAGCCGAAGACAGCATCAAACCGGAGGGAGTTTGGCAGTGACTTGGTCAATTAACAATGCACATCGAGCCCATAAACAAACATTGCGGCATTGGTTGGACACAATCCTGACACGACTGTGTGCGCCAGTATGCTGCCGTTTCTTGCTTGCAGCTACAAACATAATTCATCCAATCCGTTGCTTGTTACACGAGATCCACCAGAGTGCCTCGACCGCATCAAAGGCACGACATGAAAAGGATCCTGGACAAGGGAACGCAGGGTTTTGCGCTGATGTTCTCTTCGTCCATTTATCAGAGCTTGGTATCATTGTAGCACGTCTCGGGAGTTGGGATTGGTCGGTCTTGACACATCATTTGTGGCCCTCAGCAGCAGCAACAACAACAGCAGCAACAACAACAACAACAACCTCGGACGTGCGACCAACTGAGGAAGAATGCGGTGCTGGTTGCTCCTGGCAGCCATATGTCCTGCGTTGGCAATCAGAGAAAGAGATGAGAACGGCTTAAACTTTCTTGAGGAGACTGTATTTTGTCAACCAAAGCGGCCGTTGTCCTTCCCATGTGGAGCAAGAAAACAGCGCGTTTGCGGCGCGCGCTGTTTTCTTGCTCTGCACTGACGGTTGATTTGTTCAACTCCACCAACAGAGCCTGCCAAGAATACACTCTGGAAGATTAACCATGATAGTTTTCCCGGGTGCTTCACGTGGTCCAGGACCGGGCTGCTCGGGGGAGAAAGGCGGCGGTCGCACCGACCTGTTTTGTTTCCCGAAGAGGCGAGTGCCGCTTTGAGCGGCTTGGTTTCATGCCAGCAGAAGTTTGAAAAGAGCAGGACATTCACAAGGGGGGTTGCCTTTTTCTGTTGGCTTAGGTGCGTTTTATCATGATTTTGGCAAGGATGAGCATGTCGTGCCAGGAGAGAGAGAAAGGCAGGGGGAGCCTTCTTGGATTGACTGATATATAGATTGCCAGAAGGCTAGTGAAGGAGGATTGCAGACTTTTTCCGCAATGTGGGTTCTTTGCAGTTGTAGTCTTTGTGTGCTTGCAGAGTGTGTGAAACGCTAATCACTGTATATACCCTGAACTGCTAACGCTTTCAAGATGGACACTTTCTACTTTCCATCTCTCGGTTTTGGAGTCCAGGTTGGCTCCTCCAAGTGCCAAAGTCTCGGGAATTCTGTTTTCCTCCCAACCAGGGTGTGGCGCGGTGATCCATCCCACCGTCCGGTCCCCCACGGTCCCCCACAGTCCCCCACAGCTGCGTGTCCGCTGGGGGGTGGTGAAAGGCGTGAACCTGTACATGCTGGCGGAAGTGATGTTTGTGGGCGAATGCTCCGTGTCTCCAAGGGCCGTTCCGGCCGTTGCCGGCGCGATCGTCGTGGCCGGCGGCCGGAACGGTGAAACGGCGAAGGGTGTGCCGCGACTCTGTCGACCTCTGTCGGGAAGGAACTGGGAGAATGCCTCTCGATTGGTTCTGGTGGAGAATGCCTCTTTTTCGGGAAGGAACACAGAGACCACACATACATACATATATATATATATATATGTATTTTTAAAGTTATGGGGTGAAGACACGTACCTCCTTTTGTGCAATCAACACTGCTGACAGTGGTGGGTAAAAGGACCTGGTAAGCAGGACCAACTCGTCATTTAGTCAGGAGCCTTCTGTGAATAGTACTTCGTCAAACCTTTCGAGATCCATAAGCCTTCTGCTCTTTTGTTTCTCCGCCTCCTGTTGTCTATTTGGGTCACCCTTCCAACGTTGATGCCGATGCATCCAACTCTTGCATTGGCCGAGGCGGCCTCGGCCAATAGGGGTTGCATGTCACGACATGACTGAATCGGTGTGATACCACGGTTCCTCGGTCGCTGCTCCAAGAATCGGGTCGCGCTGATTGGGCTCTGATTGACATACATTTTGATGCTTCATTGATACATCTGTTGGCGCGATTTCGCGATTCTGGTGAGTCAACTTCTGGTGAGTCTGCTTCGTTGAGCAGGCAATTCTGGGGTCGTTGACTTTGGGACATACTCCAACGTTGGCCCTTTTCCTGCGGTCGCTGTTGCTTTTACTCTTGCTGTTGGTGCGTGCTGGCAGGGACATTCATGGTGTGAGGATTGTGGTGCCGGCGGCGATTGTGGTGTTGTCCATTTTTTTTGCTGCTGCTGTTGTTTTGTCGTCCTTTGTTTGCTCTTGCTCCTGGCATGGCAACTGCTGTTGAAGTTGGCTGTTTTTTGGGTGCTCTTCTTCCTACAGTTGCACTTCTTGTGTTGTTGTTGCTGCCACCCCCCAACAACTTCGAAACCACATATCTATTTGTTTCAGTCTGCTGATTCATCCATTTTGTGGAATTATCCGTTTATCAAAAGTGTTTCTCTTTCTCTCTATGGCCCGTGTCTTACTTTTGTCTTTCTTGTTACAAAACATAAACACATAGGTTGTTGGCGTCATGGTGTTTGTCTTTGTTGTTGTTCTCTTTTGTTATTTCTTACTTTTTGTTGTTGGTCCCTATTGTTGTTGCTGGTGTCCAGTCTTGTTGCTGGTGCTGTTGTTGGTGCACCGCCAGTGTGCGATACATTGTCTTTGGAAGGTGCCTACAGAGCCGCCTGCAAATAACGCTTTCTCTTTGCCCGTCATCTCTGTAGTCCATAGAAGCACCCTCCAGCGCTTTTCCGATGTAACCTGCCGCCAAAAAATGATGACATGGGTCTATGTTTCATGTTGCAGTTACTGACACCCAGGTCCGAGTGTATTGTAGTATCAAGGAGCTACTAGGGTGGAGGCCATCGCTACAAGTTCTTCCGAAAGTCCAGCCCTTTTCATCTCTCACTCCTGGCTTATGGGACCCATGCCCACCCAGGCAGGTTCATCAGTTTTGTCTGATGGATCCTCTCATTCGCGGTCGAGTCAAAGCACAAATAGATCCCCGACACAAGGGGTTGAACAACATCTTCATGTGTTGGAAACTTGGGAGTCGGGGTATCTCGGGGTTGTTCTTGCACCTTTCAGTCTTTGAAGTCTTTTCACTTGTGATTCTGCACCTTCAGTCAGGTTCCATTTTTGGACTGGACCAACGGCTGTTGAGCCTCGGCACCCGCAATTTCTCTAGATTCGTGTAAGTTGAGAGGCATGTGTGTTCTCTATCCACACTTGTGGAATGTTTCCTTATCGTCATTTTCTCCGCAAGGATTGTTCCAAACAAGATAAGGTGAAGTGACTGCTCGGAATGGGAGGGCTTTTGTTTCACTAGACAAGTAGCCGCCTTGCAGCATGTTGCTTGATCCACAATTGCTTTTCTCTGGACTCGTCGATCTTGGATGGTGCTTCGTTTCAAGTATTTTCGACCTCAAGGATGGGTTTTTGAGCGAAACAAGCGCAAGGTCCCCTTGAAGAAAGAATTTAGTTCCTGACCCACGACTCTTACTGTACCCTCACTTCTGCCCATCGAAGCTTGTCAGAGAAGCATGCCAAAGGGTTGATTTTAGCAAAGCCATGTGGGCAGTTTTACTTTTTCTTTTTTTTATAATCACAAAAGCAATCGACCTCGAAACTGCGGACGCGACGTACCGAAGTGTTTACTTTTGCTGTCGGATGGCTCTGGTGGAATGTCTCGAAGTCTCGCGGTCAAAAATCGAAAGAGTTCGAGAAGAAATGCCCATCCGAACTGGAGGACAGTGGTGGTGGAGGACATGAACAAACCCTCGCGCTACTACAAGATGCACAAGTTCCAATTCAAAATGCTCCTTGGTGGAACTCGACCTGTCTGCCCTGCGACTGTGGGCCACTGATGTTGGAGAACAGCAAGACTGGGGGCCTTTGGCTACTTGATGCTCCAAGAATGTTTGCAAAGACAGATGATCCAGGGGTTTCAGGGGCTAGAATATGGATCAGCAGAGATCTAGCCAGCAGGTTTCTGTGGGTAGACCGACATTCATGTTGACTGGAAGAGAAGGCCAAGGACTTGCAGTACATCCTCTTTGAGTTTGCTTAGACAAGGAACTGGATCGGTTGGGCTGGGGCTTTCCTTCACCCGCCTGTCAGGGTAGATATGCGGCGACACAAGAAGGCATTCAAAGTGAAGTTGGAAGGTCTGGAGGGTGCGGGGTTTGTGCCAAGAGTTGTGAAGGATTCAATGTGTTTCACAAGGATTCCAACAAGTGCTCAACGGTGGTAAACCAGAAGAGTAGAGGCATGAATTCAAGGACTGCAGTTCTTTGTACTGTAGTGCGGAGCTTTGGATGACGGCCTTTATGTCATTCAGTATGTGTCAGGAATAGAGTGACATTGCAGATTCCTTTGCAGAGTGGGAACTGAGAAGGTCATTGTCCGCCGAAGCCACATGAGATTGCGCCCGTTGCAGATGTGCCCATCTCTGCAAATCTCATGGCCACCGTGTACGTAAAGCAGATGAATTCCTGGTTCGACATTGATCAGGCTTGGTTTGCAGGGTTGACTGGCTGCAAAAAGGTTGGAGACTGAAGAGAAGAATCTGCATTCGCAAGGTTTTCAACCATTCTTCAATCAGGCATCTCAGTCAATCTGGAATCAAATTCTACTCACAAAGCAAAACACATCTCCAAGATTCCAAAGGTGTTCACCATTTGGTCAAGCGCCTTGCTAGTAGTAACAAGTGCCTTACTAGTAGTAACAAGTGCCACGCTAGTAGAAACAAGTGCCTTACTAGTATTAACAAGAAGCTATTAGAAACAATAAATCTCAGATCTTCCTCCATTTTTTGGGGCACCTCGACGTCCCTCTCCAGTGGCTGGGCTGGTCGCTCTGTGGCCGCAAATCCGCGCACATCGGCTTCCCGGATCGCTTCAAGGCCGGGTCGGATCGCACATTGTTCACGGGTCGGTTGGAGGTGTTTAGCAGCTCCAGTCATTGGGCCATTTGGACGGGTCGGTGGGCGTGTGAAAGGATCTCAATCGTCCGTTCGTAAGGCCAGGAGGCTCCGAAGCTGCGTCCGGAAGCGGGCCGAGTCTCAATAGTTTCGTACTCATTTGGAGTCTTCTCAGTCTTTGTGTGAAACAAGGAGAGGATCCCCATCATCCGGAGTTCGAAGTGGCTAAAGCATGCGAAAGAGCTAAGCATGGCAGTTTTCACAGACTTCTGCTCAACGTGGATGATTGTGGGCGCGAGTTCAGGTTCATATCCAGCCCTTCGCAAAGGCAGATCGGGGAGGGAGAGTTGAGACGGGGGTTTTGTAAGGGAAACAGAAGTCCATCAATTCTGTGAGCCCGTTTCAGACAGAGCAGAATTTCTAGTCAGAGCCGAACCAACTTAATCCGTGCATCAAGTGGCGCCTCCTAGTCCTTGAGTGAATCCTGAAACATGGTAGTCAAACACACTTGCTGGCGAATAGTGAACAGTGATTGACCTTTGTGGGGGACCCAGAGTCTGGAAATGCCCTAGGCAGGATGACATACTCGCTGAGCTCTACACAATAGACAACATGTGGTCGCTGCTGGTGCATCAATTGCAACCTTTGTAGTCATCAAACAGAAAAGCCTGTCAGTGTGTGATCATGCCAGAAGGACTAAGAAACCTATGCAGCCCTGACTCTTGAAGCTGCAAGTGTCTTCTGCGTAGCTTGCCAGCAGCTGATCACACGGCTGCAAGACGGCCAAAAGCGGCCTTGCTTTGTCTTTAATACCAGGAATCTGCGGAATTTTTCTACCAATACATCCAGCTTACCTTCCGCGCAGAGCACGAGAAGGCCATGGCAAACAGGATTGGGTTGGTTACCTTGACTCAAGTGCATAGTCAGTGCTTGGCGTCGTGTGTTGTAGGTGCTGAGAGTATCTGACTTAGGGGCAGACTTGGACTTTGTCTTATATAGAGGTTTGTACGGTATGTAATGTAGTGTAATGTAATGTAGTGTAATGGTCTGTAATGGTATGTAATGGTGTGTACTGGTGTGTAATGGTCGGTCGCTCTGGAATGGTCGCTCATTTATATACATGAGTCAACACACTTGGCTTCGGCGAATGGAGGTCTCAGGTGCTCCATTTCTGTCCGAAACAGGTATGTTCCACCATATGAGATGTACTGTTGTGGTGCTCTATATGAGTATCACCAGCACCCACTGGTCTATTCGGTTTTTCCTGGAAGGTCATAAAGCAGCTTCCACCACCGACTGAGGCGGGGTCAGCGAGGAATCGATCGCGATGAGTATCTTTCAGTGTTAGCCATGTCCTTTGCTGCTTATGGTGCTGCTCATGGGGATGTGACTTTTCCTTTTCGGCTCGCGGATCGTTCGATCCGCAGGTGATCGAGTCAGCGAAGACCCATGGCCGCCCACTCGTCAAACAAGTCGAGGTGAGCGATCGCTGGCGACGAGTGAGGTAGCTGTGATAGCAAGAGGGAAACGCACTGCTTCAGGCACTGTGATAGTCGAGCTTTTCCACAGATTCAGGGATTGGACTGCCCAGAAGTCCGCACTCTGATAGTCCATTCAATACAGTTCACAACAGCACCTGGACTGGCTTGCTCGAAAACATGTCTTGAGTCCTTGAGCATCCCAATCTGAATTCCATGAGCTGGGGCTTTGTCTGACGCATCCACATCCTTCGTTCATCGAGCGAAAAGGTGGAGAACCAGAGCCAGAAGAGGGACGATGAGGAGGATCAAGAACTTGTTGCCTTGGCCTCAACAGCGGTGGAAGAGTCTTTTTTCTTTGGATGCGAGCGATGGAAGATGTAGCAATCAAAGGCAGCTTCCAAAACGTTTCAAGCCTGCAAAGATGGAGCGAGATCCTTTGAGATTGAAAGGGAGTTTTGTTGGTGGCAAGACATGTCAACACAAAGATTCTGACATCAAACAACTGCCATTTTGCGCCGCTACTGTATTCTACTTAGCAGACACCTTTTTGGTTTCTTGACCAGGAAGTTTGACCAAAGTGCACTTGGATTCTTTGAGATCTTGGTGAGGTCTTGACATTTGCGCCACCAAGGTGCCTCCTGTTTCTCCTCCTCCAGAAGTTGGAGAGCCGGCGGAGCCAGTGGATCCAGCGGAGCCAGCGGAGCCAGAGGAGGCACGAAAAGACGTGGTAGATTGAATTTATATATGTATATGTATTTATATATGTATATAATGGGGCTAGATTTCAACACACTTGTCCAATGCGGAATCTTTGCGCTCTGCTCCCAACAGAAGGTCTTGGGACCCCTGCCCCTGTAAATGTTTATTGTTGTAGTCGGAGTCGGAATGCATTTAGCTGCTTTGTTCAGTGGTCCACGCTTTCGCATCAAAGAACGATCACCCGGAATTCATTCGGAGTTCATGGTGCCAACTTAGGCTCCAGTTGGAACAGAGCCCGAACCACCACTGGAGGCACCGGGCGGGCCGGTTCGGGCGCGACCGGGCGACCTGCGCTGATCGATGAGTCACCGACCTTTCCGCATCGGATGCGGTAAGATGAACGGTGCGCAACGAAGCGCCAACACCTGGGGAAGGCTTTAAGAAAGGCGTATTTTTTCAGCGCATGCGACCAGCGGTTGTTGAGGTTTCTCATGGCCACTCCACTGGAACAGAGAGGATACTCTTAATAAGATAAACAATACACCAGAGTGTATTTGCTGGTTTTCCAAAGAATACTGAATACTTGGTGTAAATGTGACGCATAGTAGTAGTAATGTAGTATTGTTTTGTGTTGGAACTGGGCGCGTCAGCTTTGGCCAGAGCCAGGGCTCTTTGAGCAAGGACGAAGATGAGGCTGTAGGGGGCGGGTTGAACCAACGGATTTGGATTAGTATGCCAGCTAGCCTGGCAGGGTACCGGTTCGTTGTTGCCATGGAAGACCGCAAAACTTCTGATTCATTTGATCCTCCGGAGCGGCATGGGGCAAACAGATGAGACTGGAGCCAACAAATATGAGGGCCTGAATGGCTTCAGTTCACTTTGGCTGACTGATGAAGATTCTTTTAGCAAAGCCGCAGCTAATTAGGGCTAGAGAAGGCTGTATGACAATTTCTTGCAATCTTTTCGATAGGCGGCGGGATGAAGTGGGGCAACACTGAGTTTTGCGGGCTCGCCGCTGGATTCGAGGTTGAAATCTGGGTAAGACCTACTCTGTTGCCCGGTGTTTCTAGAGGGCATACAGGAAGCACGGGAGGAGACGTGTTTCAGTGATGGCGACCCATTGATGCCAGCCTTGGGCCTGTGAGACCAAGCCGATGACGATCGGGGCTGAGGGAATCGAGAACATTGACCAGCAACTGGACCAGGAGATGTCATCTGACAAGGACGATACTGACAAGGCTGGCAGAGTGCAGAGTGCAGAGTTTTAATGAAGTGGTGGAGCAGGCGAAGAGCTACTTCTGATATTGATATCACCAGGGCAAAGAGGACGAAGAATTCTGATGCCCCTAGTTAGGGCAAGGGTTTCTATGTTGCCGTTTCAATTTGGATCCAAAAGGCCTCCCTAATCACCCTATAGATAAGAAGTCTAAGTGCTGCTTCAGACGGAATGTTGCATGAATGATCAATCAACACCATTTATGACCCACATTGAAGCAAAACCATTAGCAAGGTGGAGATATTGGCTGGACACTGGGCACGTCATGATATACCCTACGTCCTCCTTTCTGGTGCGTCATGTATGTGTGTCCCGTGCAGGGTGGGATGACCAAGCTTGAGGAGGCGAAACATCCAGGGGAGCAAACCATGCAGTGGTACTGGAATCATTTTTGATATATGATATATAAATATATATAATATATAATACATATAATATATATACATACAATATAGATCATATACATAATATACAATATATATATATAGCGCTGAATTGTGCTTGGTTGCCGTGAATGAAAGCCGCATTTGACTGGTTCTTGGTGGCATTCGATGGGGAAGACCAGGTGGACCGTGCTTTGACCTATATATACAAGTCCTCTCTCAGAATAGTTGACAGCTAGTCCCACATCTTGGATTGTCTTAGAACTCTGGTACTTCTAGCAGGACTTCTTGTGAAATGATCAGCTGATTCAGCTGATTCTGTGCTCTTGTCTCGAAGTGACGCTAGGAGACCACGCCTGATTTGGCAGATCTGTCCCTCAAGTCTGGACAGGAAGAGATCAAGGTATCTCAGCTTGCATTTCTTGGAGCTTATGGGAAAGGGTGGAGACCAAAACAGCAGCTTGGGCTTGGGCTTCAGTTGGCTGAAACGTGCTTTGTGCTTGAAAAAGCCTCTCTGCGGTCTATGCCTGTTCTGCCCCATTTTGCTTTTGGAAAGGGAATTGTAACCGGTGGAGTTCTTGATTCTCTCACTTTGCTTCAACACGCCGCCGGGGAAGGGGCCGAAGTTGCTGGGAGTCCATGCCGTTCTTCTCGGCAAGGGCCAAGTTGTTGGCCATCCGGTCCAACGAAATCATGGTCTCCTAGTAAACCGCCAGACGTTTCTGATGCCGGCTGCCTTTGATGCCTCTTCTTCGTGGGCGTCTTTTCCATTCCCAGGTCGAATCGGAGGACCTCGAGGCGTCGCCCCGAAGCGAAAGCGGGAACCACTGGGTGGATGTGGTGCGCTTCGGAAGCCCGTAGGCGCCGCTGTTGGTTGTGTGAGGACTGCAGAAGTAACAATCTATCGCCGGGATCCCTGTTAAATGGAACAAGGATGGCGGCGTTTGCTGCTGTTAAAATGGATGTGGGTCATGCTTTAAAGTGGTTCAATGATTTATCCTGTCCACCACTGCATCTTGGTTCAGTATCTTTGTGACTAGGTCTAGGTTTGCTTTTGGGGCTCACTTGAGACCAATTTCTGCACAGAGCGCTTTCGTTGAACGAAACCAGCGTTCTCCTGGCGAGTCATCCCGGTCAGGACCTGGCAAGCCTGGCCAGTCTGTCGGGAATGAAGCCATGCCGCTGTGGCAAACATGGAATCTATGTTTTGTTGCCAAATCCTCCAAGATGGCAAACATTCTGACTGACAATGGGGGTGTTTGAGGGATTTATTTAAAGCTGAGACTTCGAAGCGACGTTTCACGACACACTACACGGTCTGTGCGGAGCAGAGCGGAGCGCTGGGAGAGAGAGGAGCTCCGAAACGAAGCTCTGCGGGGCGATAAGGCGAGATGTGCACCATGCGCCTGGGGCTGGGGATGGAGGGCATGTTGTGCGAGCGTTTGCCAGGCCAGTGTGAAGGGTAGGGATGGGGAGAGGACGGTGTGTTGTCTCAGGCAGCAATGAACCGACACAAGAACAGGCTGCTGTTCCATAACTAGATAACTATGTTGCTGTTCATTTTCTGAAAAGACCTAGAGCTAAGGTGCTTTGTTCGGGTCAGAGCCGTCAGAGCCTGGCGAACGCCCATGGGTGGAGCTTGGGTTTAGCAGCGCAAATGAACCCCGCAGAGGTAATTTCAGTTGAAGTGGTCCCGTGCGAGAGGGTGTATGGACAGCCTCCGCTGCATGGCGGCTTTTGAGATATCGTGGTGCTCAAGTACAGTACATTCACAAATACAAAGCCTTTCCAGTGCATTTTCCAAGAGTCAGAGGCATTCTAGTTGATCTGCGATTGGTGAGTTACGGGGCACTAGATGATTGGGGTCGGCGATTGGGGTCGGCGACAAGCAGGCAAACCCATCTCAGCATGATTATGGCGACCATGATCTCAGGGCAGTTTGGAGCTATTTTCAACACAAGGTCAAGCTTGGCGTTGAGCTCCAAGTAACATCAAATAACCAGCTTTAGATTATCATCTGCAGTGGGGATCAGAGTGAGCCACCGTCCGCTCCAGACATTGTGGAAGCGCTTTGTGACATGGACGACTGCAATGAGAAGTGCAACTCCTCTGATTCGGCTGGTTTCGGAGATACAGATGAAAGTTGATGAAACCCAGTTGGTGGTGACACCATATATTCTTGTGGTCATAGCCACAAATGGAGGAACCAAAGGTATTTGAAGCTATGAGTGCCAGGTTGGATAAATGGAGAAACCCTGTTTCAGCGCCACAGCCACACCTCTGCTCGCTAACCTCATCTTGGGGACAACAAAGACTCTTCTGCTTGTGGCTTTGGCACCATACTGTTGCTGCAACAGGATGCTGCAGGAGCATTGCAGCATGCTTACTCATTTTGGTTCCCCTTGGTGAACCAAAACCCTGCGATCGGCCCAAGATGGTCTTCCACACTGCCGTGGTCCTTACGAGATCGGCCTCCAGCTTCGAAGCTGAGGCAGCGGAGATTGGAATGGTGTGACCATTGGTTGCGCAAAGGACGGTGCACCGACGGTGAAGGTCAGATATGCCTTAGAAAGGTGACAGGTGGTGGGTTTCAACTCGAGTAGCCCCCAGTGCTTCAACTGCGTGGTTTACACCTTCTCGACCAGGTTTAGACTTTCAAGCCTCATGCCCAAGAAAGGGGCCTTGTGCTTGGGTTAACTATGACCACCCCTGACATAGTGATGATTTGCGGGAAAGAACCATCATCTTCGGTCCATCTCCATGCTTCGGGTTTCACACACGCCAGCTTGGCAGGACGCCAGCTTCAACAAAGCGATGTACGAGGGCCTTCGCGTCGCTTGGTGGATCACGAATTGACCGAACATGCTTGGTGCAGAATACGCAGCCGAGTGTTCCTTGGCCAGTCTGTCAGAGCCGTAGTTCTGTTTCATTTGTTCATTTTGAATGGATAGATGAATGGATGAATGGATGGATGCATGGATGGATAGATAGGTAGATAGATGAGCCAAACTGAAGACTCAAGTCACATGAATTGCGGTTTTGGGTCCAGTCTCGGTGTTGCCAGTCTGCGACTGGCATTCCTGGCTCATCGAAAGGCTTGATGTCTCAGGCTCACTGTGAGGGAGCAGAGATGGAGATAGCCGAAGTCATGAAGGAAGCCGAGCCGGAGGCTTGGGATCGCGTGGGACCTCGGCAGTCCAGGAAATCCGAGGCAGTCGTGAAGAATCCGTTGAGGTCCTGTCATTCTTTTCTTGCGGACCAGATGTAGAAGTCATCAAGCCTTGAAGACCTGAGGCCTCCTTTTCAATAAGACCATCAAAAGGGATCACTTGGGAGGGCATGCGATTGGTGCCCAGTCGACAGGAAGTGGCGATCAGCGAGAAGACACAGGCGAAAGCCCAACAATACACCGAGGAGGACTGAATCCGTTCAGATGTGCTTCGGCCTGGAAGTCTTTCTGGGTGTGCCCAAATCATTTGCCTTTCCCAAGAATTGATCAACCCAAGTTGGTAGCTCGGGCTCAGATCCGCGAGTGGGACAAGTTTTGCTACGCCCTCGTGGCACTGCAGGCACCGCAGGCGTGGGAGTTTGAGCGCTGAAACTGCCAGGAGGATAGCCTCCCCAATGACGCTGATTCCACAGCCAAGGCCATGAAGGAGCTTGGACAATGCAGGTGCAGAAATTAAGAGGAGTCATCCAAATGCGAATTCAGAGGGTTTCTGGACATCCCTTGGCAATGAAGAAGAAATCAAGCTATTCCGGCAATACACCCGGCTCGGTACTGTCTCGCCCGGTGGCTTAAAAGGGTCCATGTCAATGGAATTAGCGGCTCCGTTTGGGTCTGGGGTGTGGTGTGTCTGCAACTTCTCGATGAATCTTCCAGCTCATGGAGATGGTGCAATGTTCCATTCCTCTTGCAATGGCCTTTTCAAAACAACTGATGTGGCGCCTGCGCAGCCCGAAGGAGTGTCAAGCTGGCCGGCATGGAGGCAGTTGGAAGATGAACTCTTTGGAGACTTGGATGACTCAGTCTCTGCTTCTCTGATGTCCTAAGCTCCGGGAGTGTCGAGACAACGCATTGCGAACGTGAGGATCGCTCGAACGATTCGGATCGCCAGAGACGCACGAAACATTCGCCCAGAGACGCACGAAGCATAGAGTTGAGATGCGCTCGGTCAACTGTTCTGTCCTGAAAACACTCCACTTCTTCAGCAAAAGACAACGTAAGTGGGATTTCCTACTGAAACGACCTGCAAAGCACACGGCTATTTTTGAAGTCAAATTTTTGGAATCCGTCTGTGCAGCCACAACGGATTCCGGGCGGCCAAAATCGATCCACGACTTCCGTTCGATCGGAAGACTCGGATGTGAAAAGGAACACCTCATGCAGCTCGATGCGAAAAAAAGCAGCAAGGGGAAGAAGGCGAGCTTGACCTGCTTTTCTGTGTTCCAATCGATGAGCAGTGTCATGCGCTGAGTTTGTCGTTGTTTGCGGATCTAGACGAAGGGACGAAGATAGCGGAGCTTGGACATGAAGGGTTCCACATATCTATCTCATTGCGAATAAGCTGATTCTGATTTCTGTTCTCCACCTGGACAAGCTGCAAGTCCTTGCACCTTTTTGGTCCTCGAAAAGGATCAAGACATCAGTGAATCTTTAGGCCGATTTCGAGATGGCTCATTCTCGATATGGCCTTGAACAAAAAGCGCTACTGTTCCACGACTCGGGGCCAAGATTCTCTCGTTGGAAGAGTGAGGGGCGACTCCGATTTTCAACTCCTGTTGGTTCCTGTGCATCGCTCAGTTAGGTGACGGTTTGGGTCCAAAGGAGCCCTTTCGCGAACGACCAACTCATAGGGGGCACGACCCGGTCGGCCTAGTTTGGGTGCCCTGCCACCTGCGACGACCTTGGGTCGAATCATCCATTCGGATCCATTCTGAACTCGCGCAGCGGGGGGGGAACTCTCTCATGTTCACCTCTCCGACCCTGTCCGAGCCCTTTTTTGGATGTCGGCTGAGTCCGTGACCCGTTCCCGTTCGGCTCCCGCCACGGTGACTCGAAGATGGACACCGGGGGCCGAGCCAAAACGATGGCGACCGGACGTGACACCGGCACTGCCCGATGGGATCTGGCCAAATTCCGAACCTTTCAACAGGGACTGCGTAGGTCCCAGGTCCCAGGTCCCGACCGACGCTGCCACGCCGTCCTCAGGGTGGCCGTGGCCGTCGCGGCGGTTCTCGCAAGCTGAAGAAAAAAGAGGCGCTGAAGTGGAGATGCAGTAGGTAGGTGGTTGGTAGGGCGCTGCACCTACCTATCTGCTTTTCCAACTACTTACGATTCTAATCTAAGACCTTGCAACAGGAGTAAACTCATGAGTCTCTTTGCTGATGGGCACACCCATGCACACGCATGTTGTGCGAATACATGCATGCAGTACATATTCACATGTTCATTCTTGCATGCACACAAGCACTGACACATATATCTATGATTATCTATATATAATATAGGTTATTTGCAGCGATTTGTGTCTTGGTCACATGCAGAAAGTGTACATACGTACACACATAGTTACTAAACCTACATGCCCCACTCACCATCGTGGGCGTTTCTCGGCGCGTCCGACCTGCGGGGCTTCCGACCGGACCTGGCGTGGAGACGGTGCCCCGTCTCCACGTCCGAGCCGGTCCTTGGTCAGGTCTCCAAGCCAGCGTTGAAGAAATGGTTGAAGGCAGGGACGAAGGAAGGGCATTCAAACCAATTGGTTGAATCAATAGGCAGCTGGTTTGCTCAATGACTGCATGAAGATGTTTCTGTAGAGAAGAGTTCGGGACATCTCATTCTCAATGACAATGAACCAGGTGTGCTCAACCACTAGAGCTCCTTTCTTGCTATATAACAAAATGGATGGTGTTTGAGTATTCTTCATCCAGGGGATGGTCTTTTCCTATGGATTACTCTCCAAAAATCTCCTCATCTCTCCGCGCCGCGAGAAATACTGCGCTGAAGTGAAGCCCAGCAATGAGAGCTTCTCTTGCGTCGGAGTTGCGACCAAGATGAAAGGCATGATGAACTACAAGGCAGGCCCAAAAGGGGCGTTGTGCGGTACGTCAGCTGCGAGAGAAGAGGTACGTCGCTGGTTGCCTCGTTTGCCAGACTGTTGGATGTTGAAGCCAGTGGTTCCATCTGCCGCTGTCAATGTACTTTCGCTCTTTAGGAAGGTCGTGCAGTGACTCTGTGCTGTAGTCATCCAGGCCCTGGAGGTCCCTGGTGGCTTTGCAGGATATTGTAGGCATCCAGTCCTCTGACTGATGATTGAAGGAACACTTTGCTGGATATGCTATTGTTTGGTCATGGAGGGAGCTGAGACTCTCCAGTGAGAATTTGGACGCGGACACCGTGTGACCTCCAACTCACGACTCACGACCCGTTTGCCAGGCCGGTGGCAGCATCTCGGATGAGACACCTCGCACGTTTTCGCGACGCCGAATCACCTCAAGTCAATGACCTCATTTGCCGCTTTCAATTGCTCGGTGGAGAGGGAGGTTATCATCAGCCCCATCTGCTCCATCCAAAGAGCTCTGTAGATCACGAGAATCGAAGTCCCTCGCTGGTGCCGCACTGGTCCCTGGCCGATGTGGTAGAAGAAGTGCGAACCAAATGGTGCCCGGTGTGGCAAACACCGTTCACATCTTGGCCGAGGTTCTTCTTTGAGCGAAAGGACTGTGCTCTTTTTGGGGGTCCTTCGTCCTCTAACAGAGCCCTGGAGGTTTTCCATCCTGCACTAAGAGGGATTGATGATGAGCCAAAGACATTCAACCGCCTTGGACGACTTGCCGAATGGGATCGAATTCGATCCTGGAGGGAAGCGTGTGTGGATCAGAAAGCCCCACGTGGACCACAGATGTTGGTCACTTTCATTCGGACAATTGAAAGCACCGTTTTTCCTTCTAAACCTCCTAAAATACGATTCTTCCTTTGGGACCATCTATCCACCTAGCAGCTCCTGTCCTTCATCCTCTCGGATCCCGACCGTCTTCCATCCCGTCCACCACCGGTCGCGTCCGCCCGTCGAGCCTCTCGCGTGTGGCGTGTGGCGCCCGAGGCTGCGGCTTCGACTTGTGGCTGAAGTCCCGGGGGGCCGACGAGTGGACGAAGAGCTCCTGGGCCGGTATGGACGGCTGTACCGAACGGGCGAGGTCATCGGGTGGAAGGACCGGACTGGAAGGAGGGCGGTAGACGGAGGTCTTACGTGAAGTAGCTACAAAGGGCTCAGGCTTCGCTCAAAGAGCTCCCCTGCCTCAGGGTGGGGAGCTTCCTTGAAGAAGGCCGAGCCCGATCGATTTGGTTCTTCGATTTTTGGGGTACCAAGGCTCAGCTCTTGAAGAGATTCTTTGGTTTTGGTTGGGAGATGTTCTTTTGCTTCGAAAGAAAGGACCGCCTCTGACATGGTTCCAAGGCCTGGAGCGCCGGCCCGTAGGAGCGCGACGGCCGTGCTCACGTATATATTCTTT